CTTCTAAAGGGGCCTTAAGTGCGTCTCTCAACAACCTAACCTTTTTCATCGAAGATGTCCACCGCATAAATCCTTCCACGGCACATGACCATGAAGTGTTTCTGTCTGGTATCCTATAATTACGCATGGAGTTAGTAAACGCTAATACTTTGCAAAGAAGTTCCAACCTGGTACAAAATGTCTTTATCTTTTCTTGGTATACGTGTTCCATTGAACAATGATTTGTACTGGCTCATATCAAGAGGAAACGCTTTGAATGCTACGGCTCCGAACCAAGAAAGACTCGCCGGAAGTGATCTGAAAGAAGTCTTTCAAGTTAAAGAGGAATCACTAACACTGAGCATAAGTGGGCCCCCTAATTTAAAAACCGAAGTAGAGTGAACCTACTTGCAAACATTTCGGAATAACTTTGTATCGCTCTTCTTGGGGTTAAGATGAAATACTTCGGGAGCCAAAATATTTGCATCCAAAGCACGCCTAAATTCAGCAATGTCGGGCTCGAAGGTAATAGGCGAAGTTCTGGTCGCACGCGACAAGCTGAAAAGGAGCATTTTATACAAAACGAGCTATAATTTTTAGACGGCAGCTGAAGATCCAGCAATGTTTGCTTTAGTTGCCCCATTCTTCTTTTCGTAGTGTACTTTTGTGTGAATATCACAACCTTATAAGAACGCGCTAGAAAGCTAAAAAACACGTAGCATTATGAAAAGTCCGCAATTCGGGACCCAAGACTCCAGAAAGAGAGCCATTGCGAAGAAAGTCCGACTTGCCAGCAGACGGAGCCATTTGATTCCCAGCTAATTTTTGTCGCCGACTGAACAGCAATACTCCACATTCAGAAAGTATGAACGTGGCATTAACCAGGAACTACCCATTCTCTTACTCACTAAGTAAGAAAATCTGCCTGCTCAGGCTGAGTTCATACTGAACTGCGGGAGAATAGGAGAACAGAAGGAGCGACAAATACCGTTTTGGAAAAGCGCGCCAAAGTGCATGGGTATCAATCGACTTCGATCGCTAGAGATTCGACGTTTTGAGATGGTACCTATATCTTCCTTTGAGCGGCATTTTACGTTGTCGATTTGCCGATTCTCCTGTTCTCTCGTCGCGAGATATAAACGCAACCTAACGCAGCTCAGTTATCCGTTCAAGTGTGATCCAGTCATTTACACATAACTTGACCCTATTACCTCTGCCTTGTTGTTTTTTTTTTGCTGTAGCGCAAATCCCTTTTAAATGTAATGAATGCACTATATCAATGTTCCTGAACTGATGTACTGCATTCAAAAATCGACGGAGTAGCGGAAACGATGAAGAATACCCGGCTCTGTGCCCATCTCTTCGATTCCGCGGTCCTTCCTGCTTTAACTTACGCCTCGAAGATTTGGACTCTACGAAAGCAGGATGAACATGCGGTTGGCGTTATTCAACGCGCCATCGAAAGGGCGATGCTCGGAGTTTCCCGCTACACGCAAGTGAGAGAGGGAATCCGGAGCTTCCGCCACGATCGAAGATCAGAGACGCCGCCGCATTTGCCAAGGTTTCGAAGATCAGGTGGGCCGGGTACGTCATGCATCTTGAAGACGACCGCTGGACCAGAGCGATTACCGACTTTCCACGGGATGTCAAGCGAACGCCTGGACGACCGCCTATGCGATGGTCAGACTTCTTCGTGAAAGCTTGAACGAACGGTATGAAGTTCATCGTGTCCCTCGAGCAGAGAGAACCCATCGGGCAATTCCAGCGCGTTGCAGGGACGACAGAAGGCGTTACTGGCGCCCGCTCGAGCAACTAGATGACTAACAGGAGCACGAAACAGGCGAATAAATCAGTACAGTCTATAGAATAACAAACCTGATGATTGAATCGTGCATTTGGATCCGGTGCGTACATCATGAAGGGATTAAAGTTGACCGGGCACGGTATACGGGATCGTAGGTACATATCGAACCATGGTTCACATATGTAGCTAGTGTCTTTGTGATTTCGATCATAGTCCAACAGAGCCTTTTGGAGTTCTGGAAAATGTTCTCAGATTGACCACATGTGAGCGACTCCGCAGTACATCACTCCAACTTGGGAAAATTATCAAACTGTTATCCACAATTTTTGAGCGGGGGCGTGTACACTATGAAATAAATAGAAAATTCGGTGCTAATGCAGATTGAGGCCTTGACTTTGCACTTTGAGAGTGTGCGACTACGTCGACTCTTGCCGTTTACGCTCTCCCTTCCACCGAAGCAGTAACTGTTCCTTTTTCCAGGTTCGAACCTAGCCTTGGTAGATTAGCGTAACAGGAGGTTCCATCGCTCAGTTTCCGTCTAAGGGTAGTACAAAAAGCAAACTAAGGCACTGTTCACAGTCTGCGACCCAGCGTTTCTTTAGAAAGAAACCCTTCGGCGAAAAGCTTCCGATACGTATCGATTGGCGGTTGAGGCGAAGAGCCTGGCGGTTGGCGAAACGCTCTTGATACGTATCGACGGGGGTTCAGCGGAGCGGTTGGGCGAAAAACGCTGGCACGAACACCCTGGCATTTTGCTCTAGGGCGGAGCCAACGGAATCGATACGCATCTATTGCTTTGTGGGACCGTCGAACCGCGGCGGCAATTCTCCAGAGCGGATGACGATTCTCGGATCAATACGTATTTATTGGTTTCCGCCGAACCGCTGTTGCGACAAAACGTAAAAGTTTTCAAACAGCAAAAACGATCCCCGGCGAGGAATCTTTACCATTAGCGTGCGTTCACACTTTGCGGCAGCGTTTTGAGCGTCTGTCAGTCTTTTAAGCGATACACGATACCTACTTTCGCAGTCGCTCAAAACACTGACGCAGAGTATGAACGCACTCTTAGCGATGATGTGCCTTGCTTGACTCAGCAAACAGGATAATCGGTAGTTAACTTCAATAAAAATTCATGGGCAATAATCTATTGGGAAAAATCGGACCTGGTCCTTCACTCTTCTCAAACGCACGAACCACTTCTTCCGTTCGCTTGTAAACAGCATCATTAAGAACGACCTTCGCAGATGCTAGAAACCTAAACATCTACTTGTAGAATATATTTCAAAAGGAAAAAACGAGTTTCAAATTCAGTACCTATTGCATGAATCCGTTAACTTTGGAACGGGCAGTCGACGAAGACTTTTTTGGAAATGATACGAAGGTATTACACTTCGTTGTAAAAACTGGTAATCATCTCCGGCAAGTTGGTGTTTACTGAAATACGCACCGTAATAAAGAGAAATAAAAATGGTGGATCAGGAGGAAAATTGTGAATAAACGCAGAGCGTCAACTCCAAATCGTTTTGCTAATGAGCAAATAGTACGAACCCTCGACATTTGGAAAGTCTTCCGCAAGCTGTCGAAAGCCGCTGTTCGACCCGAAACATCCCGACACAAACTTTATGTGCTGTAATCAAGACGAGTCAATAAATCGACCCAAATGACCAAAATTCAAGAAAGGCAAACTACGCGTAAACGCGGTTGACGATCAGCACGCAACACTGATCGCCCAAGTGAACGTACTTTGGACCCTGCAGGGTGTTCTTTGCGCTGTAGTTCGGACGGTTTCAGTGTCGCATAATGAAAAACTAACGTCTCCACCAGTTAAAGATAAGGCAGGCCGTGTATTCTATCCATTAGTTCCTCAACGATGCACTTTAGAGTTATGACACAAAGGCTTAAAAAATTATTCAGCGATGGATCCACATAGGAATAGCGAGACCTTACTGAGAATAATGCGTGAATACTGAGGAAAAATGTTGCGTGACTACTGCGAAAGGATTAATCTGATTAATTTCTAGCATTAATCTCAGTTCTACCTGGGTACATACAATATGGAAAGGATCCACACGGTGTTGTTAACAAACACAATCGCTGACTTCATTCACCAGTTTCAAACGTCTGTGTCTCTCGAAATCCACGCCTCACAGTGGAATCGTTGAGAAGTAGAGAAAAGGACAACAATTTGATCTATGTCGGCGGAAATTCTGTAAAATTACGTATGGTCAAATGTTTTGTGTAAAGCTCGTTGTTTCAAACGTTGGTGGTGTGTTGCAGACAAACCGGCCGTTTGTCGCCTGT